AGAATTAATCGTGCTCCTATAAAATACAGTGAATGCCGCTGGCAAAGCATGTTATATTATAGTTAGCTATATAAGTATCTGTCTTTCTTCCACTAGGCTGTAAATCTTGCAGGGCCAAAACTGATAGTAATCCTTGTATCTAAAGAACCCAAAGTGCTTGAATCATAGTGAGTAAAATGTTTGCTGAATTACTTTAACCATGTTTTATTAAAATAAGAATACTAATTTATAATAGCTTGTGCCAACCTAAAAGAAAAAAAAGTTTTAAAATAAAACATACAGATTTTCAATAAGAACAAATGGAACAATAATTAAGAGTCTACAAGTGAAATGCAAAGTATACTCTTCCAAATGTTTTTCATTGTTACTAACTGCTAGATACCTGGCTGCAGACAGAAGTTTGCCTTACCCATCAGTAACCACAGTAACTCAGTAAAGCCCAGCCTGCACTTTTAAAATTTCATAATGAGTGGAAAATAAAAGCTGGGCGATGCTGTTTTTTCCAACATTTTCCTAATATATATATTTACATTTATTTTTGTATAGAAAAAAAAAGTTTTGAGATCAGAAATGTAAGACATTCTGAAATAAAGTAATATATGTTCAAAAACATGAATTTCACACTGTAAATGTACTTCAGATTTGACTTTCTATCTGTTCTTTATGTTCCTTTTCCTTTCCTTTCCTTTCCTTCCCTAATTATTAAATTATAATTCTGAGTAGAAAAGATTTTGTTACTCTGAATAAGAGAACAGAACATTCCTAAGAATAAAATTCATGACCAAAATATACTCTATGTAAAAACTGAAAAGAGAATTCAAATGTCTCTTTAAAAAAAGTTTACAATAGTATGTATTCATATACAATAATAGTAACGTAGCTGAATCAACACAATAGATATGAAAATGAATATGACTAGTCAGCATAATCTCAACTTTCACTCTGCAGGAAAAAAAGTTACTTTACATTGATCACACATACAAAATATAAGATTAAAGTTATCAAATAAATGTGCAAAAGCAGGCAACATCCTCTATTTTGAAATAACATTTCATAGTATAGTCAGGTTTTTAAAAACTACCTTTTTAATTGCCTGTACTAACTAGTAAACAATTTGTTTCTTACACTGAATTTAGTGTTCAACATTACACATAGCTAAAAAAAAATTCCAAAAGAGAAACTCCCAGGTATTTATATGAATATAAGACCTAAAAGATCTCTCTTTAAATGAATGGTGGCATTTAGCAATGACTTGCTTAGAAATACAATGCACATTTCTTATGCTGAAAGAACTGAAGAAAAAATTCAAACCTCAAGTTGTAATATCGAAGGATTCCATGGGCAAAATACTGAATGATGCAGAAAGCACCAAAAGAAGATGGAAGGAATAGAAGAGTCACTGTACCAAAAAGAACTGGTCGACGTTCACCCACTTCAGGAGGTACCATATGATCAAGAACTGATGGTACTGAAACAAGAAGTCCAAGCTTCACTGAAGGCATCGGCGAAAAACAAGCCTACAGGAACTGAAAAAATACCAGTTGGGGTATTTCAACAAACAGATGCAGTGCTGGAAGCGCTCACTCATCTATGCTAAGAAATTTGGAAGACAGCTATCTGGCCAACCGACTTGAATATCTGTGCTCATTTTAAAGAAAGGTGATCCAACAGAGTGTGGAAATTATCCAACAATATCATTAATATCACAAGCAAGTAAAATTTTGCTGAAGATCATTCAAAAGCAGTTGCAACAGTACATCGACAGGGAACTGCCAGAAATTCAAGCAGGATTCAGAAGAGGACGTGGAACGAGGGATATCATTGCTGATGTCAGATGGATCTTGGCCAAAAGCAGAGAATACCCAGAAAGATGTTTACCTGTATTTTATTGACTATGCAAAGGCATTCAACTATGTGGATCATAACAAAATATGAACAACATTGTTAATAGTGGGAATTCCAGAACACTTGATTGTGCTCATGTGAAACCTGTACACAGACCAAGAGGTAGTCATTCGAACAGAACAAGGAGATACTGCATGGTTTAAAGTCAGTAAAGGTGTGCTTATTCTATCTATATGCTGAGCAAATAATCCAAGAAGCTGAACCATAAGAAAGAAGCATGAGGATTGGAGGAAGACTCATTAACAATCTGTGATATGCAGACGACACAACCTTGCTTGCTGAAAGTGAAGAGGACTTGAAGCACTGATGAAGACCAAAGACTACAGCCTTCAGTATAGATTATACCACAACATAAAGAAAACAAAAATCATCAATAACCAACATTATGATAAATGGAGAAAGGACTGAAGTTGTCAAGGATTTCATTTTATTTGGATCCCCAATCAATGCCCAGGGAAGCAGCAGTCAAGAAATCAAAGAACATATTGCATTGGGCAAATCTGCTGCAAAAGACCTCTTCAAAGCATTAAAAAGTAAAGATACCACTTTGAGGACTAAGATGTGCCTGACCCAAGCCATGGTATTTTCAATCACCTCATATGCATGGGAAAGCTGGACAATGAATAAGGAAGACAGAAGAACTGGCACCTTTGAATTATGGTGTTGGCGAAAAATACTGAATATATCATGGACTGCCAGAAAAACGAACAAACCTGGCTTGGAAGAAGTACAACCAGAATGCTCATCAGAAGCAAGGATGGTGAGACTTCGTCTCACATACTTTGGACATGTTCTCCCTGGAGAAGGACATCATGCTTGGTAAACTAGAGGGTCAGCAAAGGAGAGGAAGACCTTTAACGAGATGGAATGACACAGTAGCTGCAAAAATGGGCTCAAGCATAGCAACGACTGTAAGGATGGTGCAGGACCGGGCAGTGTTTCGTTCTGTTGTTCACAGGGTCGCTATGAGTCAGAATTGACTTGATGGCACCCTACAGCAACAACAATTTATGTACAAAGCTAAAGATTTTCTTTCAACTGTGTCTTGCATTATATGCAGCATACAGTAGTCCTTAGCTAAAGATATAAAAGAGAGTCTCAGGTGAAGAATTTGAAATTAGTTTGCTATCATGAGGCAAGTAAATAACAATGATTTAAAAATAGTACAATTAAATCTTACACTGAGAAATAGTGCCACCATAGGTTATAAAATCGATGCAGAAGCTTGTCTCACTTGGATTAGTGAGAAGACCCCTGAGATAGCTGGTCAAAAAGCTGTCTTTAGGAACGTACACAGCAATTGCCAAAGCAACGGGAGAAAATACGAGTCATGTACCTTGTACTGAGAATAATAATACTATTTTCAATCAGCTGCTAGAGCCTAAAATCACAGATGCCTTCATTACTGTCTTCTTTATTCTTTATACAGCTAAAAGTTCATTAAGTTTTGTCTACATTAAATAATAACTTCATTAAAGGGATTGGCAATTTAAAGTAACTCAGTACCAAAACTTTCCACTGTTTCTCTTTAAAACTTTGTAATGCAACAATCACACTCTTAATTTATTCGTTTTTCAAGTTTGTACTTTCATTCATCTGGTTGAAATATAATGTATACTGATATTGTTTGTACTGTATTATGCCTATAGTCCATACATGGATTCTACAAGGAAGTATTTCTAAGATGACATTAATTATTATTAACCATAATCTTACTTCAGCTGTGTCACAGGGTAAAATTTTTGGTTTCTTATTAAAGGGAATTATGTATATTTTACTTTTAATTCTTAATTTAATCCCCAAAAGTCTGGTTTTTTATAACCTACCATGTTCCAAAGCAACTTCGAGGTGCGCTCCTAAGTAAATCTATGCAGTGACATAATGTACTTTATGTTCTACAGAGGAAAAGGATATTCAAATAATGAAGTTTACCAATAAAAATGACTACCCAACAAATTATTTTATTCAAAGAATAAAATAAAATGTGCCCTTCGTAGGAAGATGCTAAAAAAAAATTTTATTTTCCATGAGGGGTGGGAGAGGAGGTATGGCTTAATTCTTCCTTCCACCTCTTTAGATGTTTGCTATTCTAGCCACAAAAAGTCAAAGAATCTGAACCTTAAGTAGTAAGATACTAGTCTTACTTTAGTTATATTAATCAAAACACCTCCAAATTTTATTGTAAGCAAAAGAAGTGAAACTTCAAATACCTAAGTTACCTATGTCTAAAATCACCTAACAGAACAAGGTCTCATTTCTTTTCTATGATTGATGAGTGCCCCCTAGTGGATGTCACTGCCTGTAAACCTCTACCTGCGTTGAGATCGTCTCGTGTTTATGTTTTAGCTTTAAGGATGCCAATTTTCATTCAGTTTCCTTTAGACATTAAAAAGGAGAAGCAAGAAACTTTCATATTATGTGTGTTTTCTATGTATTATCTATACATTAGTGTTTTATTCAGATTGTGAATTACATATTTATGTGAGAAACCACTATAAAATTTAAAAAATGATTTCAAAATAAAATTATTCTATCATTAATCCTTTAAATCATAAATTCAAAAGCTGTTTTTGAAAGGTGAAAAAATAAATACTCTACTCGACACACAGATTACAGTTCAATATACTTCAGGTACAAACATGCAGTTTCAATTAATTATACTTAAATTTTATTTAAAGAAAGCAAAACCCATAACCACAGCATTTCAATTAAGTAGCTTAGTAAATCGAGTGAAATGAGTATTTTCTTTATCCCAAAATCTTTCATGGTTCTCCAGCTACTATTCAAATAATAAAACTGTAAAACCAAAGTTAAGCAAAGAAGAAATAAGTTCAACAGGCAGATTGGAGCAACACGAGTTCAAAATATTACTCTGTCTTCCTGTGTTCTTTCCCACCAAAGTGTGCTGTTTAAAGTTCCACAACTATTATCTTCTTCCTCTTGTTCCTTAGTGAGTTCTACAAAAATCTAAATGAAAGCAAAGAAATGAATACAGCATGCTGCATTGCAATTATCTCAAGAGAACTTTTTAATAAATCAGAAATTATATAAGGCTATATCTAATTACATAAATTACATAATATAATTACATTATCAAGAAATATTTATTGATACTAATACTGTTCAAACAAAAGTTATCTCCATTAATCACATGCAAAGATGAATTTTATTTTAGATTAATAGATTATTTGTTTTATGATTAATATGTATGTAATTAGCACTGTCTTAATACAAAAAATAATTTATAAATAAACAAGATAATTTTATGCATATTAATATGAAATGTCATCACCATCATCCACTTTCTTTACCAAATTAAAAAAACTGACTATTCAAAATAAGCAGAAAACCTACAATTGTTGAAATTATTTAAAATGTTTATGAATATTCCATAATAATTTGTGGTTCAAAATCTCCCTCCTTCTCCAATACAAACCTAAACAAATGGATATTAGACTCTTCCATTTATAAAATAATTTAAAAAAATTTAATTTTATATTAATAACAAAGTGAAGAAACAACCTACAGAATGGAAGAAATTTTTTTGGAACCATGTTATCAGATAAGGGTTTAACATCCAGAATATATAAAGAACCACAACTTAATAACAAAAAAGACAAACAACCTAATCAAAAAATAGGCAAAAACAGACATTCACTAAAGAAGATATACAAACGGCCAACAAGCACGTAAAAAGACGCTCAAGGCCATCAGGCATAGGGAGATGCAAACCAATTCACAATGAGATACCATTTCACTCCCATTAGGGTGGCCAGGATTAAAAACAAACAAACAAAAAACAGAAAAGAACAAATCTTGGTGAGGATGTGGAGAAAGTGAACCCTCATCCATTGCAGGTGAGAATGCAAAATAGAACAGGGGCTGTGGAAAACAGTTCAGCAGTTCCTCAAAGTTAAGCATAGAAATTCCATAGGATCTAGCAATTCCACTCCAAGGTATATATCCAAGAGACTTGGATAGAAAGAAGTGACGCCAACAGACACATGTGCACCAATGTTCACTGCAGCACTATTCACAACAGCCAAAAGGTGGAAACAACCTAAATGTCCATCAACAGATTAATGAATAAACAAAATGTTGTACATACATACAATGGAATACTACTCAGTCACGAAAAGAAATGAAGTCCTGGTACATGGATGAATCTTGAAAACATTATGCTGAGTGAAATATGTCAGTCGCAAAAGGACAAATATTACATTGTCTCACTTACATGAAATAACAATGTACAGAGACTGTCACAGGTTGAATTACGTCTCCCCAAAAATGTGTGTATCAATTTGGCTGGGCCATGATTCCCAGTATTGCTGTAAAAACTGCCTCTATGATGTTAACGAGGGAGGATGGGTGGCAGTTGTGTTAGTAAAGCAGGACTCAATCTACAAGACTGGATTATGTCCTGAGGCAATCTCTTGAGATATAAAAGAGAGAAGCGAGAAGAGAGACAGGGGGACCTCATACCACCAAGAAAGCAGTGCCAGGAACAGAGCACGTCCTTTGGACCCGAGATACCTGTGCAGAGAAGCTCCTAGTCTGGGGTAAGACTGATGAGAAGGTCAACAGAGAGAGAAAACCTTCCTCTGGAGCTGATGCCCTGAATTTGGACTTCTAGCCTACTTTACTGTGAGGAAATAAATTTCTCTTTGTTAAAGCCATCCACTTGTGGTATTTGTTATAGCAGCACTAGATGACTAAGACAGAATTTGGTACCAAGAGTGGGGTGCTGCTCTAACAGATACCTAAAATGTGGAAGTGGTTTTGAAACTGTGACTGGATAGAGGAGTGGCAACGGCAGAGGACCAGCAGCAGCAGAAAACCTGCAGCAGCAGAGAAGTGGCAGCGGCAGAGAACCAGCAGTAGCAGAAAGCGAGAGAGCTGAGTGCCTGTGCACAGGAGGTTTCCTGGTGGAGTGGGGTGCCTCTGGGCACTTATCAGTGGAGCTATACAGCTTTGGAACACTTGTAGCAGGGTAGATGCGGGTGTGAGGCCTGAGGGCCAAAAGGCCACGGGAAGCAGAAGCTGAAGAGAAAAGGAACACAGGAAGCCAAGCTGCCTGAGTCTCAAAAAGTATGGCCATGACCTCAGGGGTTTCAAAGGGTGAAGCCATGGCCTCTACTGTCTAAGGGTGGAGTCGCCACTCAGATGGACTACGAAAATGCAGAGTTGCTGTCCCAGTGGGCCTGGAAGGTGGAGCTGAAGCCCA